TGGAAGTTGAAGAGGGAGAGAGATAAGGGAAATTGGTACGTGACTTTTATAGAGATAAGAGAGAGTTTATTTTTATTGTGGGTTGTTTTATTTATTTATTTTTTCAAAGTCTATTTAAAGGGAAGAGTCCCTCATTGTAAACATTAGAGCATAGTTCAAAAAAACGGACCGCCCAGCGCTTAGACGCCGCCTATGCGGTCCAGAAGGCCTAGGCGCATCGCCCAAGCCTAGGCGGTCAAATTGGGAGGTCTTCCTTGGGCGGCCGCCTGGGTGATACGTAGGCGGCCGCCTGGGTGGTACGTAGGCGGCTGCCTAGTGCCCAGGGCCTGCGCCCCGCCTAGAGGCGGAAAACTTTTTTTTTTTTTTCATTTTTTTCAAAGATATAAAAGTTAAGAATGATGGATTTTAGGTTCATTTGAACCCTAAACCCACCATAACCCCTTTTAGAGTAATAGAATCCTCCAAAAAACTACATTTCATTGGATCGAATCATTGAAGTGTTTCTCAAAGTTTGGAGTTCAAGCAACCAAAGTAAGTGCATTTTTTAGATTTCTTGTTTTATTTTGAGATGTCTTCTTCAGGAGTTCATCAGAGTGGAGATCCGGGTTGAAAATATGGATACAACCCGAATCTAAATGACAAAAATTGTGTTACATGCAATTTTTGTGAAAAAGATACAAAAGGAGGCATAAACCGGTTTAAAAAACATCTTGCCGGTATTAAGGGGGATGCTGGCCCTTATAAAAATGTTCCTGAAGCTATCAAGGAGGAGATTAAACAATTTTGAAGTTATGGAAAATAAAAAACAAAAACAAAATCCTTGTCATAGATCTATTTCTGCTACTCCTAGAAAATGTGATCCGGGTTGGAAGTATGGGTACAACTCAAAACTAAATGATAAAAATTTCATAAGGTGTAATTTTTGTGAAAGAGATACCAATGGGGGTATTAGCCGATTCAAATAACACCTTGCTGGTATTAGAGGTAATGTTGCTTCTTGTACAAAGGTTCCTGAAGCAGCTCCAGATGAGATTAGACATCTTCTGAATTTTGAAGAACCAAAAAAAGATGAAAATAAGCCTTGTTCTATGGAAGTATCTTCTCCAGTTTCTAGTCGGAGTGGTGATCCGGGTTGGAAGTATGGTTATAACCCGAATCCAAGTGATAAAAATTGTATTAAATGTAATTATTGTGGAAAGGATACTAATGGGGGCATATATTGGTTTAAAAAACACCTTGTCGATATTACGGGGGATGTTGCCCCATGTAAAAATGTTCCTGAGGCTATTAAAGAGGAAATTATACAATATTTGAGTTCAGAGAAGCACAAAAAAAAGGGTAGAGCAGCCAAGACTCCCAGGGCCTCCTCTTCACAGACTGCACATACTACTAAGAGGAAGGTAGAAGAAGAAGAGGAAGAAGAGGCAGATTTATAAAAAACAGAGGAGGACAAGCGTTATATTGAAGACGGAGATGACTCTGATGATGATGGCCTCGACTCCGATGCATATGATGAGGCTTACTCTAATGATATTCCTTCTGATGATGATGATTATGATGATGATGATGATGATGATGATGACTAAAGACTCTTGCCTCTTGGTGTTGAGTGTTGAGTGTTGAGTCTGTTGACTGTTGTGTTGAGTCATGAGTGTTGAGTCTGTTGACTGTTGTGTTGAGTCATGAGTGTTGACTTTTGTTAGACTGTATATTTTCTAAATTTTTGTATATTTCTGTTGTGTTGAGTGTTGACTTTTATATCCTACACTTGTATGGTTTTACAGTTTACTGTTTTAACAATATGGATTATCAAAATTCTCTTGTCGACTTCTATCTTTTTTTTTTTAACTTGGAATATGGTGTATTGAAATTTTTACTTTTTTTTCAATTGGGCAGCCGCCCAGGTTCTGGGCGCCCGCCTAGGCACTAGGCGGCCTGAACCCCCTAGGCGGCCTAGGACCCACCTAGTGCTTTTTGATACATTGCATTAGAGAATGGGAATTGAGTAAATTTGATCCTATGAAAAGATCGTTTTTGGGGTGGATCCCATACAGACCTTGAGAGAGGGTATATTCTCTCAACCTTTTTTTTTTTTCTTTTATTATTATTTCGATTTTATTTTCTACCTGCATCACTCTTTCTTCCCAAAAATTCTCTGCACTCTCTACAAAGAGTTCTTGCTCGCAACTATTTAACTTCTGTATCTATGATGAATTTTATGTGCCCTATAAAGGAAATTTTCTATTTGACCAAAATAGCTTTAAAAAATGAGGGAAATACTTTAAGGTTGATTTATAACACCAACCCAACAACCACCACGTTGATACAAAATCACACCTTATCTTACCAAGCATATCTGTTTATTCTTTTGTTCTTGAACCGACTTAGAGAATGTAGCCAATGCTGCGAGCTCTCTAGCCTAATAACCTTCATGAGTATGCATTGCTCATCTTCCTACATGCTTGTGCTTCTTATGTAAACTTCACCTTCTTCAACAATCTCATATTTGAGCTCTTGAGACTATCCCGCCTTCATACATGCTTTAGGTGCAACTTTCTTGCATATCTACAAGCACAACCAGTGCTTGATCTCATATCCCCGAGGTCCTTTGCGTAAGTTGTTCCCACCAAGCCTTCTTTATGTTTACAGCCTTGGCAATACTTGCATATACTTCTCAAATTTTGAAGGACCCATTTCACGTCATTCCAAAATTTTCTTCTTAACACAAGCCAATCAACAAAAGCAATAAACATTTGAAATGACAAGTTTTACACAAACTATGGCAATAGTATACAACACTCTAGTCATACTAGCCCTTCACCAATTTTTAAACATTGGCTCGGAGGAAATTCATGAGGTGCTTCGGACTTCACATTCTCTTTTGAAAACCCCAAATCTTCAATTTCTCCACCTTTCTGAGTAACCTTACCAAGATCTTGGTTTGCACTGTCAAGATCATCTATTGCCAAAACCATGTACCTTTTGCCGAGCTTCTTCCTCTACAAGAAAATTTACATTTTTCATTTACAATTGTACTATCTAACAATTTATAATAAATTTCTTTCTTAGACTCCTCTCATCATAACTACAGCCTCCTTTGAGACTTTGAGCCATCCATATTAAGAGAAGAAAGTGAAATCAAGCTCTCCTTCAAATCCAACACGTCTTACATTTTCAAGTGTTTGAACCATCCCATTTATGAATCCTTTTGCGAATGGATCCCATTCCAATTATTTTACTCATTGAATTGTTTCATGTTGATGCCAAACTGCCCTCACATGGTTTATATGCATGAAATCACAATTCGTGTGGGCACATATGATGTGTGGCTCTACTATCAAGAATCCAACTTTGGTAGTACATGGGATTGCATCCCACCATGAACACATCATCTTTAACATAAACGGACGTTGATAACTTCAACTTGGTGAGCCTCATTCTTGGCCTCACTGTGCCTTTCCATTCCCAAACTGGAACCCTTTGAGGAATCTACCCTTTTTCTTTATGTGGCTAGGCTTGCCACAAAACGAACAACCACTTTTATCGTAAGACCCTCTTGACTTTGATCAGCTACTTGAGGAATCTCTTGATGAACCACCCTGTTTATCGGGTCTGCCTCTTCCCACAAAAACATCCATCCTTGAACCCATCAAACTATCTATCGACACCTTCTTTCAAAGTCCATTAGCAAGAATTGCATTACAAACTGAATCCAATTTGAGGGATTCTTCCTTATTACAACTCAAGGTAGTAACAAGATTGTCATAAGACTTCAGTAATAGACATAGCAATGTTGCGGCTTTATCTTCCTCATCTATCTTTCTCTGATGCTCTCAAGTTCACAAATTATGTTTGTGAATTCATTTAAGTGTTCCAACACTTTCCTACCATCTCTCATCCTCAAAAGAATACAATTTTTTCATAATTGTGAGGGACTTTGTATGGTCCAAGTTTCTAGCTTTGACCATAAATCCGCCGAGGTCTTTTCTCCTACTATATTAAATAATATTTCATTCGTTAAACACAATAAGATTGTGGCGAGCGCTTATCCATCCAATTCTTCCCAATGATCATCCTTCATACTTTTCGGTTTCTTTGATTTCTCCTTGCAATAATGTATAAAGACCTTGTTGTACCAATATATCGTTAACTTTTATTTTCCAAAGTTAGAAAATATTCCTTCCATTAAACTTCTCTACTTCAAATTTGCAACTAGTTATTTTTTCAAATTACTACACACTGCTTTGATGCTGCTTGTTGAGAACTGAAACTTGCTTGATACCCCTTGATGTAGTGAACCACCTACTACAACAAAGCCAATGCCTTAAAACCAACTCGCCTATTACCGGTAATCTATTTCAAGAAATCCAAACACTTAAGAACTGTATATGATATAATAAATTTGGGGAAGATGAAATAAATTCAAGAGAAGTAATACATGAAATCAAAAAACACAACCACACATTACAAACAATAATCCAATCACCAATCAACACGCAAATATATGTGGTTCACCCTAAATTGCGCTGCATCCACGGGCAACAAGCAAGATGAATTCACTATCAATAGAGGAAATTACAAGTTTTGTGATTTTGTAGAGATTACTTTATAATGGCAAAGAAAAGCTGAAAATATCATCAATATAATTCTTTCTTTTCTAACATCGACCAACTCTGTTGCCGCAAAGAAAACACAGAAATCTAGCCCAATACAAGGGCACATAAAAGGCTAGGGTTTGTCAAGCAAAATCTCAATCTCTTTCTTCCCCAAAACTTAACTTCACTCTCTACAAAGAGTTATCCCTTACAGACCCGTTCAATTTTTCACTCTCTACAATGAATTGTATATCCAATAAAGGTTATTTTCTATTTGAGAAAATAGCCTTAAGCAATGAGAGAAGCACCTTAGGGTTGTTTTCGTATCACCAACCCAACATCTTTGAAGTTAATGTAACTTTTTGGGTGTTGTTCTATTCTTACTGTCTTTGATTCTTCTCGTAGGTCAATTACTTTGGCTGCACCCCCAGGAAATCTGCCAGATTTTAAGTTGTTAACATTGTTTGGATGTGGAGCATTGCTTTTACGGGGAGCAGGGTGTACAGTGAATGACCTTTTGGATCGAGACATGGACCAAAAAGTACATATACTGATCCTTGCACATAATGTTTTGTTTATATCTCTTTCTGATAACTTTGGTAATACTGTTAGGTAATGGATTGGTGATAGATGGGTGATAATGTTTAGTTTTTCCCTGTTACGTTGGCATGGGATTTGACAATTGAAAAGAAAGTTGGCATGTGATTTCTTCCAATTTTCTTTTAGGACAAATTTGTAGATTTAATTGCATAAAGGAAATTTTTTTTTTGAATTGTTTTTGTTTTTCAAACATGTTTTTGAATTTGTGGAAACATGATGCTTGCTTGTTTCTTTATCTCTTGAATATTTTGTTCATCTCTTGAGGCATTTAATGGAGGAGGACAGATGGTTTCCCCTTTACCACGATTGTCTTAATTATGGTGAGGCTCAGCTGTATCTTATAAGACACAGTCAGCCTCAGCTAGTCGACTTGGCTTGGGGCTACATGAGTCTTGAGCCAAGTCTCATCTTTTAAACAATGAGAGTAACATCCTGCTTTTTAATTACTAAAAACGTGAACTAATGATTAAAAGTGAGAAACTAGTTCTGGCTAAAAATGCATGCGCTGTGGATTTCCCAACAAATGCATGTTATGGGGTGGGGTTTGGTAAGGTTTAGACTTGGTTGAGGAATCATTATGCAATTATTGTCCAATTTATATAATGGGGAAAAGCACAAATATTCTGGGGATGAATTTGCATATTTCTAGACCACGTAAAAGACACTGTCAGAAAATAAATTCTTGACTGGATTCATCTTTTTAGGATTCAATAATATCAGCTCCTATATTTCCTTTTGCAGACTACAAAGGTGATGTTAAATTAGGCAGGGAAATAGTTGAAGGTGTGTTTCTCGGTGGATTAAATTTGTAAAGACATGCTTTTTGTACTTATTAGTGTGGTCAACATTGTAAGTTTTAATATGCTAGCAAAAATCAATGTTTAAAAATTGCTGGATTTCTTATATTGATTTAACTCTATTTGTGCTGTAGGTGGAGCGAACAAAGTTGAGACCAATTGCATCTGGTCTTTTGACACCCTTTCAAGGGCTGTGCTTTCTCGGGTTTCAATTATTCTTAGGTCTTGGAATTCTCTTACAACTTAACAACTATAGGTGGGTTCCTTCCTTTCCCATATTATTTGAGCTAGATAAAGTGTCTTCCTTGCTTGGTATTTCTTAGAACTAGTGACTCAGGCTCAGACTTGCCCAAGGTACTCAAACCAAGCAGGGTGCAGGATCTGGATGAAAAAGGCCAAAACCCAGGGGAGTCCTGGACTGCTTTTGTATTTTGTCCAGAGTCTTGGTCTTGTCGAATTGCTGACTTGACCGATTTGGTGGATGACTCGGGCTTGGAACCGTGGCAAGTCCGAGCCTGAGTCCTTGTTATAAAATGCTGCTCAGTATGACATTTGTTATTGCAAATCTTTCATCATAGATGAGTATGCAACTAGCAATTCAGCACTTACAGCAAAACTGCCTGCAAGAATGTGGTCTTTCAGTTTAAAATTCACTATTTACACCTATTGAATACTTTTTCTGGAAAAGGATTGATAGCAATCTGGTAATACCACCAACCGGGGTTCTATACAAATGTATCGCTCTGTTGTTTCTCTGAGTGGTGATTCATTATTATCTGAAATAAGTACCACAAATCGTGGTCTTTTACAGTCTCTTCTTCCAATTTGATGTTCTGTTTCTGCATTATGGTTGTTGATATTGATAGTTCGTATTATGCCATATTTTTAGAGTTTGATGAATTGTTTGGAGGGCTTTAACACTTTAATGGACCAAAAAATAAACGTTCTATGGCTATCAAAAGAATGAAAGTCTAATAGCGCTGCTATTTATAATTGATATTCAAGTATATTGTATTTTCCGCTGTTAAATGATTCTGCTATGAATACTTTGTGCCATGAAGGGACCATATGTGAAATAAAAAATTCTCTAGCTTGTCCTCTTGGATGGCTTCCATCAGTTTAGTTCAATCAGCAACTTTAGAGGCTTGTGATAGCTGTCATGGTCGGTACATTTTAATGGACAGCAAGCTGTGATGTACCAAGGTGGTATGCAACCAATATTGGTAGGGTTCTAGCTGAATGTTGGAAATGTTGCATTTCCCTAATACTAATTCTTGGTTGTACTATACACACACATCCACTCTTTAACATTAAAGATGTTTTTGGTTAATGCCATTGTATACGTCAATATGTGTATTTTGCATGTGGTTGTCGAGAAGTGTGTAGTCTCACCTGCTCTTTTCCTCAAAGAAGGCAGGATTGTACCATAAGCTTGAAGCCTCTCAACAAAAGCTGTTCCCACATGAAAAGTAGCAACTAGACAAACTTTCTTCTTTGTTGGAAATGCTTTGTTGGAAATGCGTAATAACAGTCAAGGTCCTTGTAGTGTCAATTGTATTATTTTATAATTACCTTGAAATGGAAATCTTAACTGAATTTGAATCTCATCATCTTTGAAGCAAGAACCTAGGGTTGAAAAGAATATCATTTCATCTTCATCCTAGATACCTTTAGGAGAAACTGCGAATGTTGTGGTGCCTGGAATTTAATAAGGGAGCCCTATGAGTTTCAATCACATACAATTTTTTTCTTCTGGAATTTCTAATTAGGCACAAATTTATCGTAAATGTGTTATATGCTGTGTGTGTTTGAGTTGAGTCCTCGGCTGAACTGGTATAGTGTCTGTCACTACACAACGTTGGAAGATGATAACATATTTCTTTTGTGATATTGAGATTAAACAAGAGAAAGGTCACAATTTTAATGAACTTTAAAATGGTGCATGTATCGTCCATTTGAAATTGAAGCATCGATGTGTTTTCTCACTTTTTTGCATCACATATACTCGTCCTGGCCTCCTGTGTGAAGTTGTTTAATTAAAATTGTTATCTTGGGACATGAGTTCTTCTACATTTCTAATTAAAGTTGCAGGTTATCTGTGTGTGAAGCTCTCTATAGGTGATCTCAAATTGGATGGTGGTTTAGTTGTATAGTTTTTTCGCCTACTATGTAGAGGATTTGGGTCCTTTCCTTTGCAATTTATAGTTTTTGGCAAAGGGATGTACAGTTTAAATTTAGTTCTATGGTTCTGTCATTATATACATGATGTTTGGTGTGCGACTCGTCTAAGCAATTTGTGGTTCCTAACTTTTTTATATCTGAAGTAATATGTGATTTAGAAATGTAACAAATCCAAGTAATAAATGATTTAGAAATGTTATTTAGACCCTGTATACAATGTTGGCAAAAACCTCAACAGGCATTAATTTTGGCATCTTGAAGGGTTATTTGGTGCATTCATCCATCATTTTCCAAAATTATTGTTTTCTTTGCCGCACTTTCCCAACTTACCACCACATTGATGTGAATCTAGTAATGTGCTGGTCTTTTGGGTTATTGGAGTCAAATTTATTCACTATTTGCTGAGTGGTTGTCGTAATTTGTATTTGCTGTGTTTCGGTATCCACTGTAGTACTGTTTGGTTTTTTCTACATTGTGATAATTTCTCTCTTGGGAAATTTACAGACCTATGTCTCCTGTTCCCAAAATGTGATCGATATTCTTATGATATTGTTGATACTTATCAAGCTTAAATGCAATCTTATACAGCTAAGTTGCACCTTAGGAACGTGCTCTTCTTTATTATAAACATTGACATTTTAGGATGTGCCGAGACAATATCATCTAAACTCCTGATTCTTTTGCACAGTCGTATACTTGGGGCTTCATCATTATTACTGGTTTTCTCATACCCTCTCATGAAGAGGCTGACATTTTGGGTATGCTTATATTGATATCTTTCTTTCCCATTCTAGTACAATGAGCAAGACGCAGGTTGCGCATTCTACTGTTGTGATTACAATTACTTAGTGTCCTTTTCACCATTTTCTTTCGTGTGCTTTAAAGGGAGCCCTGATTGATCTTAAGTTTCTCATACCTACTTATTTTTGCCCGGTCTATCAGCCATATCAGCTAGACTGGAGAAAAAAACACTAAGATTCACGAATTTGAGATCGAAGATTTTGATGCCCTATTTCAAAAGTTCGCACTTTCTTTGCAACGAGTGGTTGGTTGATGCAGTTTCTCTATTTTTCTGTTCTATATCCAGTCATAGGCTTATTTCACCCCAAAAAACACAAAAAATTTGGATTTTGAAGATTCCTAAATTTGGAAGTATTCATTCGAAAATTTAGAGACCCATGGATTTGAGGTGTTGGTTTACGTCGAGTGCAAAGATCTTGGAACCAGGGTTTTGCATGAAATTTTGGGCAATTTTTTTTTTCCTTCTCATTTTAAATTAATAAGATCACTTAATTCTTTAAAAAGATGACTTGATCTGGTAGTTACTCACTAGTTGCATCTTTGTGGCAATGTATTAAAAAAAATTGCGTGAGAGGCAAGTTTTGTTTCCAATTTTCGTATATAGGGTAAATTTGTACATTTAAAAAGAGATAAAATGCTATATTTTGTAATAGTTTTTTTTGTAATGTAAATAGTAAAATTTTGCACTTATAATAGATACAATTTTTACCTTTTTGTTTCTACTAAAATAGTAGAAAATTTTTAATTTAAGTTTGTTTCATTGGATTAGTAGACAATTTCAGCTGGTAGAAATTAATATCATTGAAAAATACCATTTTCCATCTTTTACATTTTTTTTGTACATGCTCATTGTTATCACTTTTTTTCCTTTTTTTTTTTTGTTTTTTTGGGGGTGATCCTAAATTTTTCACCTTTTTCGGCCCTTATCGTATGACTTGGCTCAGACTTGGTTGGGTTGACTCGAATTCCCTCGAGTAACTCGGCTAGTCTAGGAGCCGATTCCCTGTCCTAGCTGATTTTTAAAATATTGTTATCCTAGCTAAAGTATTTATTAGAAGGGGAGTTACTTTACCTAGTAGATTTCCTGTTGTATATTTGGGAAAATTATGTCAACCGCCTACTTAAAAGAACATACAGACAGGACCCCACACTTAAGTTTTATTTATGTCATATACCCTATTACTGTTTTTCTTTTCATCCACACCCTCGCCCCTAGGGATGGTCAACGTGGTGGAAAGTTAAGAAACTCTTCTTTCTATTGCTTCCATTGGGTCATCTCTCTCTCTCTCTCTCTCGCAAGCACTTTTATCTCCTTCACCACCCCCCGTCAGTTCTCTCTCCATGGAGAGAGAGAATGCTTGTGATGGAAGACCTAATGAAAGAGAGAGATACGGGAGTTTCTTTAATTTGGACTATGTTGACCACTCAGGGAATTTTTGTTCCAAGTCTTTATGAAGTTTTACTTTGGGGTGGATGCAGAGTAAAACAGTAATACGTTACATGTTGCGAATAAAAGCCTAGCAGGAGGTCATGTGTGCATGATCTTCTAAGTAGGGGGCTTTGTGTAATTTTCCCTTAAATATTTCCAATTAAATTGTCAATGAAGGTGTGTATCATAGGAAGATATGGAGATTAAATTGAACTTAAACTCCCACTTTTGTAAGTCTCTTTTAATAAGCACCCCACCTTAATGCATCTCTCTAATGGTTCTATTCTAGTTGAATTCCATGTGTACTACTATTAACTGTGTCTTAATCTTATATAGAATAGATACTAAAGATCTGCTATTTTTGCTAACTGCTTGCTGATGCAGCCTCAAGCGTACCTTGGTTTAACATTTAATTGGGGAGCGTTATTAGGGTGGGCAGCAATCAGAGGAAGCTTAGATCCTACTATCATCTTACCTCTGTACACTTCGGGTGTGTTTTGGACTCTCATATATGATACCATTTATGCACATCAGGTACATTATAAATTTTACTGCTTGCTTTCTGTAACATTCTGAAAGGACCTCCGTTTCTTTGTTGTTCTGTTACCAATCTAGGATTTTCACCTGCTTTTAGGACAAAGAAGATGACTTGAGAGTGGGTGTTAAATCAACAGCACTGAGGTTCGGGGATCTGACAAAGAACTGGATTTCTTCATTTAGTGTTGCTTGTATTGCTTGCCTCACCCTCAGTGGATTGAATGCAGAGTTAGGTATGAAGTTAGTGATTTTTCCCTGATTGTAATCCTTTTCATGTTTGCAGATTTCAAGTTTTCGGAAATTTCTTGATTTGCTGAAGTGAAAATCTGACTTGTCCAAATGTTATCGTTTGGACAGGATGGCCTTTTTTTATGTCATTGACATTTGCAGCTGGGCAACTGGGTTGGCAGATTTGGACAGTTGACTTGTCCTGCCGAGCAGATTGCAATAGAAAGTAAGAAATGTCCAATCTTGTATAGACATGAAGTATATATGTGAAATAAACAAAACTTAACCTAAGAGATTTAGGATCCATGACTTGGTATTGGCCATTGTCAAAAGAAAATAATTATATGACAAATGGCAAGGTTTTACCTTAAAAATAAGTAAATAAATAAACTGCTGGTATTTAATTTGTGAAAATAGTCTTCCTGGTTATCATGTTTTGTGCCCCACTACAAGTAAAAGGCATTCGAACTTACATTATAGTGAGTTCTTAACCACTTTTCTGAAAGGGTGTATTTGTGATTGATTTTCTATATTAATTTTCTCAATATGCTGAAGCATAATTGGTTGAGGCTGGGAGAAAACATTTCTTTTGATTATGCTTATAATATCTTTGAAAAGTTTATAAAGTGCAAATTTAAGTCACTTTATATTTTGAATGTTTAGAAATGGGCTTTGTTAGGGTACTCCTACACATGGAGTATTTCCTTAATGTACTCAAATAGCGCCTAGGTGGGCTATAGGGCTTGGGCATCTCGCCCAGAACTAGGCGGCCAAAATAGGTGGTCTGCCCTTGGGCGCCTAGTGGCTAGCCCTAGGCGGCCGCCCAAGGCCTACGCTTCGCCCAGGGTGGAAATGCCCCTTTTTGAGCGGCATTTTTTGATTTTTTTAAGAAAAAAAAGGTTTAAAGGTGGTTTTAGGTTCATTTGAAAGCCAAACCGCATTAGAGCCCATTTTAGAGAGAAAAATCTCAAAAAACTAGATTTTTGTGATTTTCATAAGATCAAAGGGTTTCTCAAAGTTATGAGAAATCGATCCAAACATCACCCATTGAGATTAGATGTAGTTTTGGAGTTCTTTTAGGTCTATTAGAGGGTGTTTTAGAAGATTTTAGCATTAGAAAATAACTTAGATATGGATTTGGAGATCGAGCAATCAAAGTATGTGCAAAATTTTATTTTTAGATTACTTGTATTATTTTGAGATGTCTTCATCGGGACCTAATTGAAGTGGTGATCCAAGTTGGAAATATGGCTATAACCCGAGTCCAAATGACAAAAATTGCATAAGATGCAATTATTGTGAAAATGATACAAAAAGGGGGCATCAACCACTTTAAGAAACATCTTGCTGGTATTAGGGGGAATGTTGCCCCTTGTAAAAATGTTCTTGAAGCTATCAGAGAGGAGATTAAGCAATATATGAGTTTAGTAAAACACAAACAAGAACAAAATCCTTGCCATTTGGATAGGTCTATTTCTGGTTCTGTTAGAAGAGGTGATCTTGGTTGGAAGTATGGTTATAACTCGAAACCAAATGATAAAAATTGTATAAGGTGTAATTTTTGTGAAAAAGATACTAATGGGGGTATTAACTGATTCAAGAAACACTTAGCCGGTATTAAAGGGAATGTTGCTTCTTGTAAAAAGGCTCCTGAAGCTAGTAGGGATGAGATTAGAAAACATTTGAATTTAGTAAAACCAGTAAAGGAAGAAAATGAGACTTGTTATATGGAAATATCTTCTCCAGGCTCTTCTAGAAATGGTGATCAGGGGTAGAAGTATGTCATAACCCAAATTCGAATGACAAAAATTGTATAAGTTGTAATTATTGTGGAAAGGATAATGATGAGCGTATTTATCAATTCAAGGAACACCTTGTCGGTATTAAGGAGGATGTTGTCCTGTGTAAAAATGTTCCTGAGGCTACCAGGGAGGCGATTAAATAATATTTGAGTTCAATGAAATACAAAAAGCAAGAAAAGGGTGAAGAGGCACCAGGTAAAGCAACCAAGATTCCTAAGGCGTCATCTACATAGAGTAAGAGGAGGTAGAAGAAGAGGAGGAGGAAGAGGCAGATTCAAAAGAATAGAGGAGGACGAGCATTATGTTGAAGAGGGAGATGACTTTGATGAAGATGGCCATGAAACCGATGCATATGATGATGCTTAACCTACTCCTTTTGATGATGATGATGATGATGACGACTGAAGACGCTTGACTTTTGATATTGAGGCTTAAACTGTATATTTTCTAGTTTCTTCAATCTACTCTTGTATGTATGCTTGTATGGTTATATCATTGTATGGAAATATGGATTATGGACTTACTATTTACTCTTTTTCTTATCTACTTTTATTTTCTTATTTTTTTTATGGTTCTAAGCCACCTAGGTTTTAGGTGGCTACCTAGGCACTGGGTGGTTAGGTCCTCTCCTGCCGCCTATGTGCCGCTTGATGTTTTTTTGGAACATTGGTTGAGTACATTAAGGAAATACTCTTTTCTGTGTAGGAGTACGTTAATAAAACCCTTTAGAAATATATGTAGGTGCTCAAATTATCTCATTGCCTTTCATTTTTGGCCTAGATAGCACATCTTCTTTGTAGCCCTTGCTCTCGTCAAGAATTAGGCGAACTCTTTCTAACCCGTTCTGACCCTCATACATTATAGTATATCCTACTCATGTATACTTGACACTCATTTTCAAAGGCTGTGATTCAACCCAATGTGGTGTAGTATTCAAACACTGTAATGCCTGTTGAGATGTTGTTGGGTTTGCTGCAAACTCTGTCTGTTTTTGAGGGTCATAACTGTATCGTAGCAATCATTGATGGATGGTGTTGTGGCTTAGTTCTAGGAGGCATGATGTCATCTTCAGGTGTTGGTTTCAAGATATCTGATGGTAATTGTTATGCATTTTGCTAGGTTCATCATTTTGGTCTTCTAATGTCAGTCTGAACAATTATAATACCAATGCCGAAGTTTTAGTTTTTTATTTCTCAAGCTATTTTTGGTTGCTATGGGTATTTTACTATTGAAAAGTAAATCTTGGATATTACTGACCATCTTCAAAATTGGATTCTTAATAAAGAAAATTTCATATGGACCCCTTGAAATATTATTAATGTCATAGTGACCCCCCCCTTTTTTTACTATCATACAAGCATTAAAAGTCAAGAAAATATATCATTCCACCCCTTTCTCATTTCTTCCTCCCTTTTGTTTTTTTTTTTCCTTCACACTAACTGCCCTAACCTAATTATGAAATCATGTCCAAGTCCTTTCTGTTTCTTCTTTTATTTCGAATAAGGCCGATAACCCTTTGCTCTCCTTCATTTCTCCCGGTAATCATTCTCTCTCTACGCTATCCCTCCTGTCACGCACCTTAACCGCTCTCTGTGGCTCTTCTCCCTAGCGCTCTCTCTTCCTCGCCTCTCTCCCCCTTGTATTCTCTCTCCATTCTCCCCCTTGCCATTCACCATTCATGTGGGGAGGAGGTTAAGAGATGCTGGGCATGTGCCTGAAGTTAAGCAAGTGTTGTTTGATATTGATGAGGAAGGGAGAGAAAATGTACTTGGGTGCCATTGCTTTGGGTTGATTTCAACTGAGGATCCAGCTCCCATTTGTGTCGTTGAGAACTTGAGGTTATGTTTGGACCATCATGCGGCTAAGAAAGGTAATTTCAATGGTGTTTGAGAGAAATTGTAGTGAGAGATCACCTTTGGTTTCATGGCTTTGTTGGAGGATTGTGTTGTTGTATGGATTATTGCTATAATGCAGTTCAGAACTTCATATGCACTGAGGTGTAAATTATGAGAATTGGTGCTAGTTACAAATGAAGTAGCCCATGAAATTTGTGAATTACCTCTCTCTCTCTCTGCAGTTGTTTTAAGATAAAATTTTCTCAAACTAGAAATTCTTCTCTTTGCACCCTGTGTGTTACGGAAACCATTGGGATGAAAAGAAATGAAAGACACATAGCACAGTCAATGGACAACAAGAAACCGTAGTCATAATCAATCAGTGTGAGTTTTCTTCAAGAAATCAATCGGTAGGACTTTGAATATTATCCATGCTTTCCTTGCAATCATTATTCTTACATTATGTCCAGAGAACAACCGAATCAATGAAAGAAAAAGAAAAAATATGTGTGAGGGTTGGGTTACGTTTCTGAGAGAGGGGCTAAGAACTCTATATGTCAGCTGCCGACTTCGCCATTATAGGGGCAAATTCAGGGAAACTAATAGCACCATCTTAATTGGGGTTAGCCTCTCTAAACATCTCCTTAAGTTCTCGAAAGGCCAGACGATGACCCATGGAAAGAGGAAGCTCAGCCGCAGTTATATTGCGATTACTGTTTCAAAAGCTCGGAATAAATCACGAAGTTTACTATGGTTTAGTGATGGATGTGTTGACATGGTCATTTGAAGTGCTATGACTTGGTGGAGCACTTTGAATTCAACAGTCGTTTGAGTTTGAGTCACTGGATTTGAGAGAGTCAAATTGGTTGCCTGTTGGTTTGACAACAAGATAGCAGACGAGGCGGCGAGCTCCAGGTGGTACATGCTACCATTCATGTTGAGAGAAGATTTCATAGAGCTCCTCGACTTGCTCAGGCTTTAGGATGCCCTGTGAGCCCATGATCCATTTATTCTCTCTGGTCTCTCTCCCTTGTTTTAGAGAGAGAAGAAGGGAAGAAGTCTGATGTGCCTTGTATTCAGGAGGAGATTAGGGATGGGGCAAATGAAGGGATCAAGAACCTATTATCTCCAAATTGAAGAGAGAGAGAGAGAGAGAGTTTTGGGGTGAGGGAGGACCAGATACACACAGTTTTGGGGGTGTTTCAGGGTGAATTATGTAGAGGAAAGGAGGAGACAAGAAAAAGGTTGGGGGGGGGGGAAGGGAAAGGGGTGCCTAAGGTGGGTGCAAGGAGGGATAGGGTAGAGTGAGATTATCAGGAGAGAAATGAGGGAGAGAAAGGGGTTACAGGTATTATCTGAATTAAAGAGGAAGAGGAAAGGGAGTTAAAGTACTTGCACATGATTTTTGCAACTAGTTCAGGGCAGTCAACAAGCAACTAGTTCAGGGCAGTCAACAATGAGCAGAAAAGTGGAGGAGGGATGTGAGGAGGGGGTGGAACAATATATTACCTTCACTTCCGATGCCTCCTGATCGTTAAAATAATGGTGGGGTCTATGATACTAATAACATTTCAAGGGTCTGGATGAACTTTTCCCTTTTAGTATAACATATGTTTGCCGTGAGGAAAGAACAATGGACCACCTCTCACCTTGTGTTCTAGGTCTGTATGTAGAAGCTTGGTACATTTATGTCGTCAACGGATTCGTTGATGCTAGAACCTTGGTTTATTGCAGGCATTTGCTTCTCTAAGGACTCAATGATGATAACAGATTTGATATAGCCCGATTCAACTTATTTACAGGTTTTTGGAAAGGAAACTTAAGAATTGTAATAGGCAACAGATGTCAGTGGTTTGAATGTTTTGGTCCACAGGGTGCTCGTATTTGGTTAGTTGAGAAATACTGGGGTCTCATGATTTTAGTCTATGAACACTATGGTCTGGTTGCATGGAACAAACTTGAATAGAATAGAACATTAAAAAAATAAAAAAGAAGAAAAAAAGGAAATGGAAGTTCCTGAATGGTGTGTGGTCTTAGCTGAAAAAGAAGGGAATACCTCAAAACCTGCCGCCATAATTTTTGAAAACCTTGAAGTTGCCTCCACTGTTTGGAGTAATCTAAATATTGACACGTGTTTATCGAAACTTCCAAAATGCCAAATCTTTACCATTGTTACTTATTTAGTAACCCTTTTTAATCATAATGATCTACCAAACCAGAAAATCTATTCTCTCCATCGAAACGTATGAATTTCTGGATCACACTCTCTACCCAAAGATCCTTATGTGCTACTTTTCTATCTTGTTTACCAATAGTGGATTTCTGAAATGCATGTTTAATGTTTCATTAAACCCAGTTCCTTTTTTTTCTGCTCCATAAATTTGACCATTTTCACTCCTTTCTTCCATCATCCAGGTGTTTCCCCTTTCCTTGACATTCTCTTTTCTCCCTTGTCAGTTTATTATCGCTTCCCAAGATGTCCGAAGATCTCTTTCCGTTGCTGGGGCTCCTTTATGTTTCACTTGCCACTGCTTTTAATGCAGAGAGAGAGAGAGAGAGAGAGAGAGAGAGAGAGAGAGAGAGACCATGGCATTTTGTAGTGAAGATGTAGATTCAAAGGATTATGTTCTACTTTCATTCTTCCCTAAATGGAAAATAATGAAGATGTAGATTCAGAGGATTATGTTCTACTTTTATTCTTCCCCATTGTTCATACCTTTTGCTGACATCGGGTTTCATTGCTTGTGAACTCTCATTGAAGCCCCTGTTCATCCATTGGTTAGATGATCCAAACATCTACTCTATAAAAGGCAAGAGCTGGTGCATTATGAGTTCCGTTTGCTACTGTCTTTATAGTTATGGCTGCAGCAAGCTTTTAGACTGTCTATGACCATGCATGGTGTTTCTCTTGACTAGAACGGCCTTCATCTTCATGGATGTGGGTATGCATATCTCCCTTCTCCTTTTGTTGTTTATGCATGCGCACACACATTTGTGTGTTCTTTTTTGCATGTATGGATGTAGCTCGATAAGAGGGTTCGGTGAGTTGGAAGTTGTCTCTCAGAAATTAGTTCAATTGTCTATAGAGATGAGGACTCAACTGAGTCTATTATGATATGCTGTCCTATAATCCATACCTCATGCTTATGGTACTTGTACTGTTTTACCAAACATTAGATTAGTTAAGAGGTCATTTATTTGTACAACAATTTTAGCATAGACATTGCCATCTTTCATTTTTGTTGGCATACATTACAGCTAAATAATGCATTTTCTCGTCTTTCCAAGCATATCATGACTCTTTCAGATTTATGATGAAAATCAGTAAGGTGTTTTCTCATGTATTGTCTATGAACCTAAAATCTGAAATTTAACAGCAAACTTGAAGGGATTACTGCTGCTCAGGACCTATAGTAGTGGCTTTGGGTTTCCTATGTTGAAGATTTATAGTTTGACTGTAATTTTTTCTTGGCCTATGTCATCAATACTCACTTAGTTGTAGTAGTGTGTGAATCTTTACTAACATTAAGAGTTTGAAACTAATGCTATCAGACTTGCTTCACTTGGATTGAATCGGCCGATTTCTTCAGCTTCAGTCCCTAAACTGTAATGAAGTGAATCCAATCCCTATATTTTTAATATATCAGAGAATTTTAAAATATCATCTATTTATTGAAATATCACAAATATGCCCGATATGTTCTAAAATTTGGAACATATACCCGAATATGTTGATATGGGGAAGGCAAAGAAAAAGCAAGGGATAAGCCCAAAAGGACATGGTTAGAAGTAGTAAGGAAAGATATAGGGAATTATGGCCTCATTAAGGGTATGACATTTAATAGAGCAGAATGGCGGACCCAGATTCTTGTAGCCGACTCCAATTAGTTGGAAAAAAGCTTTGATGACGATGATGATATGTTGATATTTTAAATAAATGCTTACTTAGATATTATTTTATGATATTTTATTTAGATAACAGATAATTATATAGATAGGTAAGGGTGAAGAAGTACATGGAAAGACTTGCCTGGAATCAACTGAAGGGTCAAAGCACTTCCTTTCCCAACCAAAACGAAGAGCTCCCCAGAGTGCATCTGACAACATTGATTGAAATTATCATAAAGGAACTATATGGTTTATTGCTTTGTCTCTTCAGAGACATTCGATATTGTTTATTACTTTTTTCTACTACTTTTCTAACTTTTCTGTTTTCCTTCATTGTTTTGGTTTTTTTCTATTTTTTGTTGCTTTGCCTCACATTCCCAGAATATGAGCCCAAGGCATAAAGTTTACTCACCACAGACCCTTGCTAAGTCTGGCGTGAGTTTGGTTGTCAAAACTTGGATCTATACATATATGCTGATGTGAGCTCCTAGTGAAAAAGTGTTATTGATTAATTAATATGGAGATGGTGAATGCCACCACTGGAAAAAAAAAAATGCTCTCAGCATTGCAAGATTTTTAATTTTTCAAAGTTTGAACATGTTGGGTTAGCTAGTTGTCAACGCTAAATGGGTTGGCAATGGATTGTCTGAGCATGTTAATAAATACACTTTGTTTGGCATCTTTAATGCATTCCACATGATACATGGCTGATGCCAAGATATATGTAAAAATCCATATGATTTCATTTTGAGTAGCATGGCACATGTATTCCTATTCATTGCAGGTTGATCACCCTCACCCATCTTTCCTATTGTCACTTTGTCCTGCCTTGACTAGTTATTGATTTACTCTTGACAGGTTTGTCTCCAACAAGTGGTTTGGCGCTATTGTCTTCAGTGGGGTTCTGTTGGGAAGACTCGCTTCCTAAGTAAAGTTTTTGGAATCTGGATAACGGAATCAGTTAGATCTACTTTGCATGTGATATTGTTGCAAACTGGAGGAATGGTCATGGTAACTGGTTTTATGCGACTGCCGGAAGACCGTCATACCCAACTTCAATCAATTTCTATTTTCTTTTGTGATCAGGATGAATAGAAGACATCAATTTTACTGTTGCATCGTTTTCAGCTGCTAATAGTCAAAAGTTGCATGGGCTGGATGGATGGTACTTTGTTAAGCCTTTTGGAACTGTAAGATTGCCAATCAGTTGCCACCGTATTACATGATACTTGTACATGGTTGAGTTCAGTTATCCTCTTTGTCGACTTTGTTTTGTTTGATGTCGGTTCTTTGCAGGCAAAGATTGCCCAGGAGCTGCTTTAAATGGGGAAGGGACATGCAACTGAATATGAACTTCAGTCTCATGGGAATTGATGGAGATGAACTTGTAACTAAACATAAGATATGCCTGCAATCTCTGGGAATATTAAGATGATTCTTTGGGGTTACCATTGACGTATTTAAAGAGGTATTTGAAATGAAGTTACATAATCTGAACTTTCTGTTCGCTATTTATTATTTGGAAGGAACCGAAATTGTGGGATATGCATGTGCTGTCAATCACGTTATTTCTGAAGGTTTTGTTAACTATTGTACGAGATATAATTTTCAGAGAAGAAGTTTCTTGGATAAATTCTCAGGAAGAAAATTTTGCTTTTGGCATGGAACTCTTAATTGGGTGTTTATACGTTGGAATTAGTATCGTAGTCTTGGTTGTCCAGGTTATGATACAGTTGACTATGAATTATCTATGGCACTTGGGATTCCTGAAAACAAGGAAATGACCGTGCCTTAGTTGATTCATTAAATCATGGACTTTAACTTGGAATGTTAATTACCCAAGGATTTGATTCTTTTAGAGCTAAGTTCTAGTGTCACTTTTTGTTCGATATAAGTTACTGCTTTAATACTTCTAACTCGTACTGGTATGGGAGTGCAAGTGGTAATGTTCTTATTTAGTCCATTTGTTATTTGAGAAGAAAATATTATTCAAGCACACTCATATCTATAATATATCGATTATCTATTAAGTAGGCGGAAGATCTCGCTTATTCTTGTGTCAACCAATTTTGTCATTTAAATTTGGGTGCGGTTTATATAGAACCGAGGCTCTAAACAATCAAATTAGAGCCCACCTTCAAAAAGTATCGAGAAATATGGTTTCAGTACTAGAAAGTTTTGTGATAGCCTTAAATTATAATTTCATCTTTAGTTATAAAATTTAAAGTTTAAAAAATAGTGTAGATTGATCAGATCTATGAAAACTTGAAAATCTTAGAACGTGACGGTCAAAAAATGCGTTGCAAGGTGACTATTTTCAAAACTTGAAATTCAATTTTTTTCATGTCCATGCATCTTGATGTCGAGATGATCAATTTGATGATATTTTAGCATCAAAACATCTCCTAGTGAAAGTGCTGAGTTAGGTTCTAATTTGATTGTTTAGAGCTTAGGCTTTGTGTAAACTTTTTCCTTTTAAATTTTAATTATTCCAATTTTGATCTTTCTCTTACATTCCTGTTTCCGTGCATATTCTCTCTCTTGATCTTAAATGATTCTTTTATCTAAACTATTTTGACAACAAATTTTGTCCAATCTTCTATTAAACTCGCACCAACAAAAAATATAAAAAAATATTTTCGATAACATAAAATGATCAAAATACCTTTGAAAGTTTCAAGGGGTGTTTTGATCATTATATTTTATCAAATTTATTTTTTAATATTTTTTATTGGTGCGCCCCAATAAGAAGATGACACATACCAAATTTCAAATTTATATCATTTGTATAAAAAATGTTAAAAATAAAATACTTTGGGACGTCGGATCTAAGATCAAACGGTGAGTGACTTCTTTGGACGATTGGATGGTAGAAAAAGCATATAAAAATCTTTCCCATCATTTGCTGCTTTGTCTTTCTCATAAAAAAAAAAAAATTACATTTCTCCTCTTTATCTTTGTCCTACTCTGGACTTTATAAGTTTCCATATTTCTTTCATTTTCTCTCTCTAAATTGCATGCACACCTCTCTTAGTTAAAAAACATATACCCCCGCTCCCATCAACCCGCATACGCACCTCTCATGTAAAAACCAAACAAAAAAACAGAAGAAGAAATGTCAAATCTCATATTCATTCCTCATCTTTTATATCTTTTATTTGTATCATTTAATTTTGTATTCTCTTGTATTTCTCACTTATTTATCTTCTCTTAGGCTGTAGTTATGGAAATTATAATTACATTAAAAGAAAAACTAATATTTTTTATGTTTCTTTTTAGCATTTTCATTTTTCCAAAATATTTCCGTTTAATATTTATATAAGTAAATAATATGGAAAATGTTTATATAAAGCCGAAGCTCTAAACAATAAAAAATTTCACTAGAAGTTGTTGTTTTGATGCTAAAATATCTTCAAATTGATCATATTGACATCAAGATACATGATCATGAGAAGAAAATGGATTTCAAAATTTGAAAATAGTACATCTTGACGCATTTTTAAATTATTAGTTTCAAGATTTTCAAGTTTTCATAGATCTGCCTTATCTATACTATTTTTTAAACTTTAATTTTATAATTAAAGATGAAAATATATTTTAAGGCTATCACAAAGATTTTCAATGCTAAATGGGGTTTTATATCGCAGAAGCTTTGAGGGCTTGTTGTTGATGGGCTTAACCCGATGTAGCCTGCAGGGTTCTCATAGAGGCTCATGAAGGAATATGTGGTTTACAACAATCTGGTCATAAGCTTTACGAAAGGATCATACATTGGGGCTATTATTTGCCTACCATGATACGTGACATGCAAAGAGTTGCTCCTCTTGCTAGTTTCATGGAAATTACATACACCTTCCACCCGTACTGCTCTATCCAATGGTTACCTCCTTACCTTTTGTCATGTGGGTTTTGAACACCTGAACGAATGCTACCTGTTAGCCAATTAAGCTTCAAACTTGTAAAGCATTGTTGTTGTTGTTGGTTATGTGGCCTTTCAAGGCGTTAAAGCCAAGAGTCTTGCGTTCAGTGAGAGTGAGAGAGAGATTGAATCTGGATGCTTTATATACTGAGACCTAGATTCATATACTTCGAATACATGAAACAATGAGTGTTTACACTTTGAGAAAGTAATCCCTCGTGGATGTAAAAGAGTCACCTTTGAGTTAGGGCTATATTAATGAGTATGCCTCATAGTTGGTATGGTTAGCCATGGCAGAGAACCAAATGAGTTCAATAGAACCCGAGTATTTTATGAGTATTTGCCCTATATGCAATGATCATGACTTATGAGATAAAGTCTATAACCTGACACGAGTCCACTCCATGAAATGTGTATTGAGAACCTGACGATGGGTATCTTAGATAGGGTGACTTTGATGTGGCCAATTATGTGTCCGTGTCATAGATTACGGGAGCATAGGTCCATTGGGTCACTTTGAGACGAGGTGGACCACCACTCGAGACTAGCCCAATAGAGTACCCCAATGACCAGTGTTAAGTTTAGAGATCTCATTTATTTTTGGTCCTAGTTTATTTTGATGAGAAAATGTATAATGATAATGAAAAATTATTTAGATAATTTTTTAGAGTGTTTGAGAATTTTTCAAAATTTTTAAAACATATAAAATGCTATTTTTAAATTTGTTTGGCCTTAATTCCAAATAAAGACATCTTATGGGGAGGCCACGTGGACCCCAAAAGGCAATACGGAGTCCGCGTGGTAGCCCCACATGCTACCTAGGGGATGACATCAGCATGTGTCATTCCCCATGCATGGGGACCCTTTTGGAATTATGCCCTTTGTTTAGTTAAGCCTTCAAGCCATATAGTTAAATGATTTAATTCATAAGGTTTTTAATTATTTTGTCGTTTATTTTACTCACATGTGACAACCTTTGGCATGTGAAGCCAAAGATTTTTTAAAAATAATTTGAATTAAAATTATTATCCATATAAGATTTTATGACGTGTTTGAGTTTATTATGTTGAAATTTTATTGGATGTATCATAAGATATTTTATTCATACATGTGGGTTTTACCAATTACAAAAGAGGACATGCCCTTATCCATGTAATACTTAATGATTTTATTGAAACCTATGGGCATTCATGAAATCTCTACAATGGACTTAATAACTGGTATTTTTCTATGGGACAAATGACCAAAGTATAAAAAGGCTCAATCTAGGGTTTAAGGAATGATAAAAATGACTAATCTCATCCATTGATCTAGATGGCTGGATGATGATGAGTCGCTAGGATTATGAAGTTATAGATGATGAACACCAAGGACTAAAATCACATCACAACAAACCACTTAATATAAATATCATATTAGGTTCAAGTAGCCCTAAGGGGGAAGGGGTCACTTTAATGAACCTAGAGAGAGAGAGAGAGCTCTAAGGGAGCTTCACGCACCACCCTATTCCATTAATGGTTTTCTCCATGCTTGATGCTCCACACTCCTATGGTATGCTAGTTTTTGCTTGATGAGCAATTGGATCCTCCTCACACTTAAGGTAACCATTTCATTAAGTTTTGGTTTTCATTAAAGTTGTTTTTTTCTTCCATTACTTGCTGTAAATCTCAATTTACAGCAGCTTTTTTTTTTGAATCATCAATTTGTTTCAATGCTCTTTCATGGTCTATTTGAACTATATACACCACACTTTGAGTATATGTAGTTTAGCTTGAAAGTTGAAACTACATCACCTTGTCACCGATTTCTATACTTTTGAGCATTCTAATGAATTTTAACTTCATATCAATGGGTTTTATTTCATATTAGAGGTTTAAAAAGGTTTGAAGTCGTGGTGGCCTTCATGCTTGAGAAAATATTTTGAGTTTCCACGCTGCATAATGTGTAGTGTAGTTTGAATCTCTTTCTTCTACACCTTGATTTCTCTAGATTTTATTTGCCCGATTTTTGTGACCATATTAATAAGTTGATATATTAGATCAGTGAGTTCATTATCATTTTTGAGAACCAAAAATGTGGTTCGTGATTGCCATTTCTTATTGAGAAAAAGGCTTTATGTTTGCATGATCCATTTTGTGTAGTTTGCCCATAATTTGGTTGGATCTCTCTTAACCCCTTTTGTAACTTGATCCCATATATATATTTCTCTCTAATTGAACCTTCATAAGTGGTTTGAAACTGATTATAAGCTTCTAATACTGAAGTGATTACCTTAATTATAAACCATTTATGCTCTCGTCTATAAGACAAAATTAGGTCTCTAAAAAGTATGTTTTGTGATCCAAGTACAAAAGATTCAACCTTTGACTACCAAATGATTGCTTGCATGATTATTTATTATAATTTACAGTTAATTCATGGTTTATGCTTTGGAGGAATAAAGTACATCATATGTGAAATATGACGATTGACTCGGGAATGTTAGGGTATTTTTCGATACTTGTATCCCCAGTACAAATAAGGAGGAAGCCAGTCGCAACCTTGCCCTACAGGTAACAAAACGTCTATGGACTACAACAACACTGATCAAATAAACCCTGCTTTTTTAGTGAATTTTTAAAGGTGTTAAATTGGTTCCAAAAGGCATGTGAGGGTGACATTTGCTGCCCTAAGGACACTTGTGACGTTTCATCGAGATCCGACAAAGCTAAAGCAAATTAGATGAAAATTTAGTTCCC